GACTTTCCATACCGAGTACCCTAATGCTCATGAATAGTTATCGGATTTCGTAATTCAGTAAGTTTCAACTTTTAACCTGCTAACAATAATGTTATAACCACAGCATCACCACAGCAAAGCACCCCAGTAAGGCATGGTAAAGACGAATTCAAATATCGTGTGATGAACGCGGACTTAGTTTCGAGCACGAGATTCGTAATATTAGAGATGATATGACCAGGCTGTTATTTAGAATATGCTCTGTACTAGAATCTATGAACTTTCCTTGTGATATATAATAGAGTCGTTGGTATTGGCAGGAAAATTAAAGTTTAACCTGAATGGAAGCAAAATCAACGCAGTGTAGATTTCTGGGGCAAACTATCCTGACGATATAATCTTGTACAAATTATGTAATATGCTTGCCCTATATTTACTCCTGACTACGCATTTAATATATAAGGCAGGACTATTTTAAGTTCCCATTCAGGTTTGGAAAATAATTACGACAGTATTTCCCAGCTGAACGTTTTATCTGCAACAAGAAATTATGCATTGAGTGAAACTCGATTAAATAATATGCATATTTATTACTCGATTCTTATGAACCAAGTTCAATGTGAAAGAAACATAGGATTGTGAACGAGGGAGCCATGATGTTATGTTTATGATGGTGTGGCATAATGCCTTCAAGTTATTTTTTGCAGTCGATGTTAGATTGTCTGGTGGTACGTATACTTGGCCGTTTGAAGGAAACGTTGAAATAAGAATAGATAACGGCGACTGGGGACTGGTGTGTGGATTGTATAACTGGGATTGGATGGAAGCAAGAACCGTTTGTAAACAATTAGGTAAATCCATTTATTATTTCATTCACGTAGTAGGTCCGAGTCATTGCGTTCCAAAAATATGCGGAAATAACATAGCAGTCTGCTACCACTGATTGTCCGAAAAATAACTATTATGTTGTATTTCTTATTACCGAATTAAGGATTCGTTGAGGCTATGTGGCTGTGGCATAGCGCTGATTTTGGCAACTATGGTCCAACGGAAGTGAACGTTTGTAATATCAGCTGTGATTCGTCAGCACAATCACTGGACGACTGTGAAATATTATCAGATTATACTTCCTGCGCATGCTCTGTAACGGACAGAGCTGGTGTGTCGTGTTATTGTAAGTACATCATGACGAATTTCAAAGCGGAAGAATCGTCACCTGCGCACTCGCGGAAATTGGGTCCTAAGCGAGGATAACAACACACGCTAAAACGCAAAGGCTCATGGGTAGACGCTTGTTTGTAAACAATAACACGCTATGGCCATCTGACGCATGCGCAGGTGACGACTCCTCCGCTTTAAGGAAACAAGGGCACTTGCTATGTCACGATAAATAAAACTTGAATGAATTATTTTTCGCCGCTAGCATTCTGAAATCTTAATGGTTGAACGCACCAGCCTCCTAGACCAGCGACACAGCCATTGGTGGGACACCACACGACTAAGCAGGATATGCTGCAGTGTCATCTGGCACTCGTGGCAGGGGCTGCCTCTGTGCAGCAGAATGCTGTTTTGGCCGTTTTCACTGGGTGCACCACCCAGGCTGGCCTCCCCACCCTCTCTTTTTTGGGGATGGAAGGAGCAGTTTCGGTGCTTTGGGATCCCACTGACCAGTTGGTACAGGTGAGGCCCGCGAGCCAGTTTGGCTTCTGCCAAGGGCAAGCAGTAAGGACCCCAAGCTGAGATAGCGTAACGACCAAAGTCGGCACCCACTGGCAATAAGTAACCAGTTGGCAAGCGCCCAGGCTCTCCTGGGGGAGGGAAGAGTGGCGACACTCCCCCAGGAAGAAGGGACCAGGTGGTTCCCCCTCTACCACGGGGGTCGCCAACCCAGCTTGCAGGGGGAAGCAGGTTTGATGCTTCTGCTTGTGACAAGGGGATGGGCGTATGTTAGATGGGAGGCAGAGTCAGAACTTATCAACTTCTACAGACTGCGCAGGGTCTCACCTCAGCGGAGGAGAGATCATCCTGATGTGTAATCGCCAAACCCACACAGCTGTGCCCCGATTAAATCTGTATGAGCTTCCTGGAAACGCTGAGTACCATATTATTCTCCGTGCTCTGTTTCTACTGGTTGTCCTCACTAGATTTGAGCGAGACTTACCCGCACATACCGATACACCCAGTGAGTCAGTGACTCCCTCGATTTGTCCAGTTGGGCCAAGTAGTCAGCATGGGTTGCTCACATTCAGGTTTTGTATGGTGATGCTACTGCTTCGCCGGTACACATCACATTGGTACACATCAACGTGTACCTAGATGGCTGGTTGCTACACAACCCAAACAGTAAGGCTAACACCAGATTTTCTAGTTCAGTTGTGCTTCCTAGTAAATCGAGCAAGTCCCACCCTCAGCCAACACAACAGTTGGTGTTCCTGGGCAGGGAGTTTGACATGGAGGTGGGCTTGGTACGCTTGCCACAGGCCTGTTACCTAAACGACCTAGCCGAACGCCTAGTCAGCGTTCCCTCTGTGTCCCTCCAAAAACTAATCCAGATCATTGAAATGATTTCAGCGGTTCGCAGGGTAGTTTCCCCAGGCTGTGTTACAGCACACTTTTGTTTGGGCTCTCTTACACGAACTGGAGAGGCAAGTAACACTCTCGGACTAAGGGAGGGATGCCTTGCCCTGGTTGTCGTCATTTGCCAACCTCAGAAAAGGGGTCCCCTTGGACCCACGAGTCACAGCTATGACTCTGGAAACGGATGCCTCCCTCACATGTTAGGAAAGCGCACCTAATGGATGAACAAGCCCAATGGAAAATATGGCCCCTATGTTAGACTGCAGGACTGCCATATCAACTGGCTCGAATTGACAGAATTGCGCTTAGCACTACTTCACTTTTAACCCATAGTTCGAGACCACAAATTTTGAGTCTTGCGTTGCACAGACAACACAGCCGTGGTCTCCTATAGCTACAAGGAGGGGCCAGATCCCCATCATTGACAGTCCTAGCAAAGCAACTTCTCCTTTGGTACCTAGAATACAATGTGGAGCTAGACGCACACCACCTTCCAAGGGCAAGAAACAGTCAAGCAGACCCTCTCGTGGCGGCTCTGTCTCCAGAACGTGGAGTGGTGGATATTCCAATGGGTAATCTGCAGACTGTTTCGGCGGTGGGACGGTCCAAGGTTAGACCTATTCACCACACCCAGTAACACCAAGTTCCCGATGTACACAACACTCCTGCCGACTCCAGGAGCCTGGGCCAGGGTCACTTTGTCTACCCAGTTGACCCACATGGATATGTACGCCTTTCCTCTCTTCCCGCTATTCACTGGGTACTAGAGAAACTTCGACAGGAGCGCATCTGCACTTTGACAAGGTCTGATTTCCACTACTGTTAGAAATGTTAGTCGAAACACCAGGGGTACTTCCGGGCTTCAGGATCTGCAGTCCCAACCGGATGCCACACTGTCTTTGAGCCCAACAGTGTACCACCTACATGCATCGAGGCTCTCAGTTGACTCAGAGTGGGCTGCCAACGTCCTGGTCAGGGCAAACAGGGATCCCATCAACACAGCCTATACCTCAAAATGACCTGCATACAGCTGACTTTTCGTCCATTGTTTGAACGAAATGGACTTGTCCTTTCAGTGATTGTTGGCTATAGGTCAGCTTTGTCACCTACCATTGGGTTTCTCTGGGGACGAGGCTAGCCGATTGTCCTACCATTAGGAGACTGTTTACTGTTTAATTAGAGGCCTAGACCCCTAACGAGGGAACCAACCAATCAAAACTTATTAGTTGTGTTAGCCGCTCTAAGCAGACTGCCCCAAGCTTCTCTGATCAGCACCACTAAAACTTTTGAGGTGGGAAACAGTCTTCCTACTCACCCTCGCCTCAGGTAGGCGTTGGGCTGAACTAGGGGCCCTGTCCTTCTCAGACGGGCGTGTCGCCTTTATGGACAACCAAGTCATGATAAAGACACGAATTGGGTTTCTCACCAGGAAGTGGATCGCGTCCTGGGATTTGCTTCCTGGCGAGAAATTTGATTCATGTCTTTATCACGACATAAAGACTGATCGTCATTCCAGTAATGACTGACAAGAAGGCAGCACCTGAATTTCTCTTGTGGATAGTGAGATGCAACTGCTCCACAGACTGCCGCAGTCTCAGATGTACCAGAAGAAAGCACAACCTTGAATCTTCTGCAGTTTGTGGTCAATGTCGAAGTTCTGAATGCACAAATGTAGTACCTGATGAAGACAGCGATGACGATTAGGAATTACATTAATCAAACAATAAACTTTTGGACAGAATTATAACTATTTAATATAGTTTTTTAAATCAAAAATATAGTTTATAGAGTAGAGTTGAAAATTTACGTTTAAATGGTCTATTATGTATATAGTATAGCAGACTTGTAGATCCAACCAAGGTGTTTCATTCCTCTAGTTTTCTTTCAAATGTGACGGCCATGTTGGATTTATGCAGATGAGGCATCCGTCTACCCAGAAAACCATTTATTTACATCTTTTCTGTACTGTACGATTTTGTTTAAAATTGTATTCTAGCATCTTAAACTTATTACTTATGCCAACCACACCTCTTATTCGGGATTTTCACTATGGTAAAAGATAATGACTTGCCCAGTTTATATTATATACCTAATCGTCATAAACCCATACTTTTATTAGGTTGACAACAAAGTCCTCAACCAAAGATCTTTCCAGAATCTTAACCTTTGTACTTTTGTCAGCAAAGATAGACTTCAAAATAGCAGGCATCCATTTTGTGACAGAATACGACAAATCAACGAGGCAGATGACCTTTGGTCTTTTTAGAAGGTTCCTTGACCGCTCAGATTGATTATATAGTGGTTGTTCGCATTAATGCAGAATATACTCACTCTTTTTTATTTGAAAAACACCTGATTTCACTATATCACTACTTGACCTAAACCTAAAGCTCTATATATCATTATTTTGTACATCAATTGCGAGATTGGTCGTTTCATTTCGTGTAGCAAATTAATTTCTGTAGCACTATACACATTGCTCAATAATAAGTGTGTAAATGTACCTTGTCCTTCGTATAATGTTATTGTTATATTATGCATTGTACAAATCCTCATGCAACAATTTCGACTTCTGGAAGGATATGTCACTGCTTCTTATTTCAAAGAGTTGCTTTTTCCCTTCCTGTCTTGTTATATATGTTTAATATGTTTTAGTAACTACGAGTTAAATTAACTATAAATAGTTCCATGTCATTACCATTAAAATAAACAGCAATTTTAACGGTGTTCCAATAAGAATTCATTGGTCAAATTTTCACAGAATGTTCTTTAGAGAAAAATCTATATAAAAAACGAAAAAAACTATTTTTGATTGAAATTCACAAATAAACTGCATCTCTACCTTAACTGATATTATTCTGATTAAAGTAGATCAGGCGTGTCGATAATCAAATTAGTATCCATGCATACATTATGGCCCGGACACCTGGTAATAGGAATAAAACTTTCTAAACTATTGTTCAATGTGTTGGGTGGTTTGTATTCAACACTTTTTCTCCAAAAGTACGACTCTATTTGGTAGTTTTACGGCCCATGCTTTGAACTACAAAATATATGTGTTCATTAATGGGCCATAATTCGTCCATCTCGCCCAGCCTCGCCGGGGGGGGGGGGTCATTCCAGTACTCACTGCATCTTATCGGCCAGGCAGAAAAGAAACTTGTATTTTATAGACGAGCTTACTTCCACCTCTTCACAAAATTGAGAGCCATAGCTCTTGGTATGACTATACAATAAACAATAGTTAAATCGATTAGGGATTATTGTGAAGATAGTATTTGTTTTAGAAAATATTTTCCAGAAACGTAAAAGCAAAATCACTTTGCAAATGGCTGCAATATCATACCAATGCACAAAAACTTACATCAGTACGTTGTAATACTTTTTCGTCAATCGTAGCGTTTTAAATTAAGTACAATTTGAGTATAATTATAATAACTTGCAGATTGCTCAGAAATAACGATTTTTTTCATGTTGTTATTTTAAACAGTTCCTGGATTTCGTGGTCGTTTTAAAGAGGGTCTGGCAGCAGAGAGAATATTTCCTAATTCAAGCAAAGAAGACATACCCACAGATGAGCTCACTATCCCAGAATGCATTGGGACTTGCAGAGAGAATGGTAAGGCTATTGCAGCCCTCTACGGTGGGAATGAATGTTACTGTGGTGATGATGATACAGACTACGATCGATACGGAGAAGCTATTCCAGGTGAACTAATAAATGGCATGGATGTATACGGTACGGAACAGTGTAGTGGTTATACTGAAAGCGATCCTAATTTGCTGCAGGGGTGTGGTGGAAACTATCAGCTGGACATTTATGATAGTAAGTATGCATGGAGTAATGCTACTTCGATGAGCCACTCAAATACAAACTAGTCTATCTCACAGTCGCATTCCGCCTCTATCCCCGCAAAAGAATTAATTGTGAATAAATAGGCCGATTTCGGGTCAAAATAAAGATGAACTCAAAATTCACAGCGTTTCTTGCCTTAAAACAGTACTTCCTGAATAGCTGCTGTGTCTATCTATGGAGACAGTGGGGTTTTCATACCTACTGGCCTCTCTCTCTGTTCTTCTGAAACAGGAAGTGTTTGAGGGCGCTCGTTCATTTAGTTGGTTTACCAAGCAATTCCATTTATGATGTGATATGTTGTTGTTTTTGGTTTATGTCGATTGATTTTTGCTGGTTCAATTATCTTCCATTCTGCTATTTTCAATACTTGTTTGAAATTCCACCATTTGAGTTAGCAAATATGCATTACTTGTCCCACAACACTTTTTGACATTTTGTTTAAACAATAGCGAGTATGATGTACGATTTGACAAAAGGCAGTCACATAAATGAAACCATGGGTCTCATATCGAACAGACACATCGTGACGACTATGGCCCTTTAAGTGTGTATAATGGATGAACAAAATGGTGGATTCGACGGCGTATTCAGACTAACGTTCCACAAATTATATATTCGCAGCAAAAGTAGGTGAATGCGGTGGTAATCTGACAGATCGTTGTGGCTATATTTACTCACCAAACTTTCCTGGATATAACGAAGGATATTGTATTTGGATAATAACAACCAAAGAAGACCATATCATTGAACTCGACATCCCCTATATAGTGTATAGTTTTTCGGGCGGCCTGGATGTGAGAGATGGTGACAACAGTGCAGCCCCGTTAATATATAGTGGAACTAACGTGGGAGACGAAGATAAAGTGAATAGTTCATCTAACAAACTTTGGATAGAATCAAACGAAAATATAGAGGACTCTGGAGTCTTTATGACGTATATATGTATGTGTCTCAGTATTTTCCATCTTTCAAGGATAGTGAGAACGTAAAACTACTCGTTTAAATTTGTAAACAAATATACAAATAAATTTTACCTAAGCACTCTCAAAATAAATTAGACTTGAAAGTGTGGGCAATATATCCTATTTGTTTAGTTTGTCCCTGTGTGATGTTTCACTTAATATTTGCAATTCTGGAAAGCAACTATCAGTTTCATGTTCTCAATTTCCCGGAATGTACCCAGCGTATCACTAGATAGATTTGTATTCGATTGGTTGAAACCAGTGATGACATTCGTGATGTCAATTTTTTCTCAATAGCCATTCCAGTGTCAGATGTCGCAGTGTGCACCAAACCAAATTCAATGCCAAATCGTGTAATGCGGTCTTCGACATCATGCACAGAAAACTACTATCCTGGTGACTACATAACGTTTACCTGTGCCCAAGGCTATGAGTTGACCGGGGAGAGTGTTATTACCTGTCTAAGTGATGGTCATTGGAGTTGTGAGTTCCCTGTGTGTGAAGGTGAGTACAAGTCAGATGATGTCATTTCCCCCATACGGAGTGTTGATTTCATTCCACATTCGTTAACCCTTATATGGTCAAGTCGATGTAAAAGTACATATAAGGATTAATGTGATTTGGAAAATAGTATCCATTCCTACAGTGGTTCGCTACATGTTTATTTGCATGGAGCCACATTATGGCCGGACACCTGGTAGTAATAAAACTTTCTAAACTATTGTTCAATGTGTTGGGTGGTTTCCATTGATAATTGAATGTTGTTTGCCGTTGTGTTTGTTGAGTAACTGCTTCAACTAGGTCATGGAATGATATTAGCTGAACAAGTTTACATGGTAACTTTGGACTCGTTACTGTAATGTCATAAAGTTTGAAGACATTATCATAATTGCTTATGCTATTTAATACATCCAAATGCTGTTGACTCAATTGAGCATACAGAGATGGCATAATAATAAACGGTATTCAAAGAAATATCCAATTATACATCAGTGGCAACTTGAAAGATATTGAGTAAGTACAACTGGAGTCGTTTCCTATCATACCTCAGTGGTTTCAGAGGGATGTCAGAAACTTTTTGGAGTTTTTTTTATTGATACGCATTGCTAGATCATGTATATATTCTTCTTCTTCAGATACCAATAATCCAGAGTTGTATTATTGTGCTCAAAATTACCAATTAGATACCACATTTGAAACTACTGAACCGATTTTGTCGACTACTGAATCGTGCGTACTAAGTACAACTAGTTGTGCACAGGGTATGTGAGATGCGAAGCTATTTACAATATTGATTCCGATTCTGACTCTAGCACCAGCTAATACCTAACAGTCTGACCAATCAGAAAACAGCCTATTTGTTAACTGTCTTTTTGTTCGACCTATCATAACCTGCCTTGCATATATGCTTCGACTGATAACGCTTAGTGTATATCAATAATCTTATTCTAGGTGTCACTGTAGCCGCTGTTGTCAGCGTTACATTGTACAGAGTGTTGATGGAATAATGGAAAGAATATGAAGTGTGATTTTGGGTAAACATTATATACATTGTAAGCAGAACTATATATTTAGAGTTTCAAGATATGGATTTGATGTTGTAGTCCAGTACATATATCATGTACAATATAAGTTACGATATAATTGTTTTTACACATAGTTCAAGTACATTATAATATATTGTTTATGTTGTATACTCTCCATTCGGCTTTCGAATCCAAACATGCGTGATTATGTTCATACCTCCGACCGTAAATACCACGTGTTATCACACAGAATATTTAGTCCTTGTCCTTGTGTCTATATTTGTTATATACCATAATAATAACATTGACTCCAGTATCATTCGAAAAATGTTAAATTCTATAAAAAAAAAGATGTGGTCGATAGCGCGAGAAACACATATAACCATGATAATATTTTAGAATAAAATAACAGTTGTTTTACACTAATGTTGCTTACAATGGAGTTCATAATAAATATTTGTTTGCAATCATATGTTTGTGTATTTTAAATGCAGTAAATTTTGCATGACACGTATGTAGTGTGTATTCTGTGCACAGGTGTTTTATAGCAATGGTTATCGTAACGACCCCATAGCTTCTTTCAATAGTCCATGAAACCTAAATAAATAAGCCTTTTCTGCATGTTGACACCAACATAGTTCGTACAGGTCTCAGATCACTGAGCTGCCCAGGTGATCAGACTCCCCAGATCTGACACTCAGCTGACCAGAACGAACTCTCGGTGGTACACACACTTAGATTAACGAGATCTCAGCTTCATTTACGTCTAAGTCTCATTGGCGCCAGGAAATTTGACAATGTGTTCAACACTCACTACGTTAATCAAAACACCACGAGATACCAAGTAAATGTTGTGCTGTTTATTCGCATTCATTCTCTATACGAAGTACCCTAATGTGTGCATACCTTCATTTTCCTCTCTGTTGTCATTCTGTTTTCTACTGCGTTGTAGAAACTATAATGTTCCGAATTTTATGTTTAGGCCGCTAACAATTATTCGACCTAATAAATATAGAGAATTTATCATTGTTTCATAAATGTTACATGCTTTTTAAAATTGGGTTTGTCACATTAATGTTTGTTTTGTTTTTATTTTACGCGAAATAAAAAATATATAACAATGTCCGAAAATAACTACACGTGGCGCAGTTTATGGAACCTTGGCCAGCGGAAGTGCTTCTACAGTGACTAATATTACCAACATTTCAAGACACAATGTAAAGACAGGTATTGTAGTCAATTTGTGTTGGAATAGATTTTCCCATCCAAAACGGGGACGAATTAACTGTACAATAGCAACACCCTAAGTTATACTATTTAACATTTACCCTGCCAAATAATAATAGTTCTATTGCATGGGGTCAAACTGTGTAGACAAGTTTATAATATTTCGTGAAGTCATGAACTCAGTTTTATGTACCGAGTCCTTTAGATGTAAACCAGTTGTATAACAAAGTCGACCCAGTGATAATGTAAACGAAAAAAGTTCTATAGCTACTTGTAAGCATGTTCAGGTATTTGAAATAAAAAAATAACTTTACGATTACGTCATTGTTACATTTAGCTACAATGTTATAGCATTCAGCCAATCACATGGTTTACCGCTCAAATGTTGTTATTGTTACAATCTGTCACTTTGCTGTTGCTCCACCATCTTGTTATCTCTTGGTGAGTTCGAAATAAATCTATCAAATGATTAACTAATTCTCGTGACTGAGTGATATTCCTGAATCGACCGTAGACGTTCCTAAATAGATTGTGGCTTTCCCCACAATATTTATCTGATTTATCGTGTCAGTTCGGTGTAATAAAGCAGTGTAATAATTGTATATACTATGTTATAACAATCAAGGCAATCCGATTGGTCCGTGCGGGAAAATTTGCCTTTTGATATTATGGCTTGCAGTCGCAAAATAAATCAATATCTCAAGACATTGAAGGTTTTGTGCAATATTTCTTGAATTAATAATTATTTAATGAATATTTTTTAGTTTAAATGCCGATGAGTAAGCATGTGTGATATAAACATGTATATATATGCGAGACCTCACAAAGTAACGAAGTATTACCTTATTCTAACACTGGGACAGTAACGTACATGTCATTGTAGGGGTAAGATTACGTAAGATATGGCTAACTTGTGAGATTGATGAACCATTCGTATTTATAGCTCAGTTTATACTCTAAATCATGTGGGATGCAACATAAATATTTGAGTGAATTATCAGGGGTAAATTCTTCTCCTCTGGGGTTCTCCACACTTTCCAGGGGGGAATCTCGTCTCGTCTCTATATCGCGTCCCCTCGAGGTGCGGGATCGGGAAAGTCACTTATACTTTACAGTCAAATAAGACACACACAACGAAATACGTTTCAGCTCTCGTCTTAGTCGGTCAATCGAGCACTCTATAAGACACAGCGCCTTGGGGAAAAATCCCCAAGACTATCGCAAGGCTGACCCAACACTCTTTTAGACTGCGTCAAGGCTCGCCCCAAGTCTCTCCAGGACTACGTCTGTTCTGCTGTACTCCCCAAGACCAACTAAAACAACTTTATTCATTTTCAAATCTCTAACCAATTACAAAACAGTAAACAGACTCTAGGGCGTAACCTTCAATCATAAAGCCAATCACACTAAGTACTGAATACGTCATATCTTTTGATTAATCGTTCACTACATTAATAACTACGGATACCAACTGTCAGAAACGTAGTCAGAATAGCGACAGTTATCTTGTAATTAGTTCCAAATCACTGAGCCAAGTTCCGTCCAAAACTTCAAATAGGCCTAAACGATGACAGACATAACACAGCAATTCGCTAATAATCAGCTAATTAGTCGATCACAGATACGCAAACAAATCATGACACATCCCTTCACCCAAACTGAGATTATGCCTCCCGGC